AGGAAAACAATTACAACCTTCTCAACCATACAATAGATGCTTGTCATCTATAAATAGATAGAAATTAGAAAAAAGGGGGAAAAACAAGGAAATTACCAAAGTATCCAAGCCGTTGAACCCCCATTCGATCGAGGGCCTAGAGTCCATATCAGGGTCCACAATAGCTAACACATCCAACTTAACATGGCTAACATGAAGAGATGGGCTATCACCAAGAGTCCCAATACAATTCAACCCACTCTCCTCATTATCCTCCAGAGCCTTACTACCTTCTGTCATATCCACCAAACCTATTCAAGTATAAACAGACCCAAGAACAAACTTCAAGGAGTCCTCACACAACCAAAAACAACTTGTGGAAGCAAAAGCAATTTAGAAAAGGACAGGATCATAAAACGAATAGCCTAAAACAACTTGTTTGAACATGAAGGAAGCCAAAAACTCTGCAAAAACTAAAAAACCAAGTCGGGTAACCCTCATATAGGTAAAATTGGAACCTGACGTATCCATTCAAAGCATTGATTCAACCAAAAAATTGTTGGACCAAAGATATTCAAAAATAGCTTTATATAGAGAAGAAATAGCACATGGACCAAAAATAAAATAAAATAAAATGGAAAACAGATAAATTACAAACACACCCTGAGGTTTGTTTAAAATACGAATTGCCTCTTGAAGTTTTTAATTTTATAACAAATGACTCGTTTTGTTAATAAATCATCAAGTTAATTAACAGTTTTTAATGATATCAGAAATTTATTTCAATTAATAATTCAAATAATTTTATTATTGTATAAAAGAGCAATTGCGAATTTTATTTTTCTAATTAATTCTGTTAAATAAAAAATTATGACAAGGAGGTATTTGTAATCTCAAGGAGTGTATTTGTATTTTACCCAAAAACACTTGCTACTTGCTACTGGATTCTACTCTCAATTTCAGCATACTAAAAATTATTTATTTATTTTTACATTTAAAAAAAAATAAAAAGAAAAAGAAAAACGAACCTGGACAAATATGAACCCTAGACAAGAATGAAACAAAACGAGGAATTGTTCTTTGATACCAAGTCACAAATGATATAGTAAAAGAGATGAGTGAGAAAAGACAGAGAAATGATATACGGGCTATGAAGAGAAACCCAACTAAATTAGGGTTAACTCTCATCACATTTGCACATATATTAAAAAATGGTCCAAAGCACATAATTACCGCTAAATATGAAACAATTGACAAGTAGCAACACGGGACAGTCCTGACAGTCAAATATGTACAATAGATAAAGGAGATGTAGAAATTGAATTGCTTCTAGGTAAATGTGAGGGAGACATTTTTAGCAGGCTTACATCTACTACACATAAAAGCGTCATTAAAAGACACTTTAACCAAATCACCTGTTTGAACTAGACCCTTTAAATGATTACTACATAGATGACCCAATCTATAATCCCAATATGCATCTTGGACTTTCAATCATGAATAGTGACAAGGATGGACAAGGAAGAATAAAGCTAACAGAGACAAATGCGTAGGCAAATCATTTGAAATAAAAACTGTGATGGTGAAGAAAGGGAAATACAATTTCATAGACCAGACAAATTAGGAGTAGCTATATGGCAGTGAGAAGAAGTAGAATCAAATATCCGTGTAGTGGGTGATATACCTAAGGTATGAGAACCTTGCAAACCTGAATAGGCAGTGGACATGACAAAAGCATGGAATAAAACCAACTGTATTGTGGAATATATAAGTCATAACTGCTCCATCAAAAATTGTACTGTGGAAGATGAAACACTACTAGAGGCATGAGTTGCAATACCAGAACTCATTCGAGATTGAAATTGGGCTGCCCAAGTACTTGGATGTTCCAAAGTATATGCAAAAATGCCAAATGAAATAAAACCAAGTCAAACAAAATAAACCCAAACCAAATAAAATGAGAATAGGTAGAATATGCTAGTCTTAATTTAAATAATAATAACCAAATACTATCAACCTCTAGATGTTACCAAACACCTCTTTTCCCTTATAAATTAATATATTACTATATGGTAAGTCTATCCAAAATGGGTAGATTTTTTGGGTAAGCAACATAATGGGCCATGCCCCTAAAATAATAGAATATACATGTTTACAAGGGGCGTGGCCCAAGAAACTAAACTCTGTACACTTTCCAACACCACCCCCCCTAAAATAATTAGGAGGGATATCTAAATAAGCAAAAAAAAAACCAAAATAATGTGTTGCCCATGTATTTTGCCCCTAGTTGCTTCTGTCATCAAGAATGAAGACAAAGAAACTAGGAACGGTACATTAACAAACAATAACAAAATAACAAATAACAGACAATACATAAACCTAAGTTTTGCTCAGACTACCACCAAAAAACTATGAACACAACCAACAAGCACAACATCTGTAAGAACAAGCACAACAAATCATACCCCACAAACTGTCCTTGCAAACCCCAGCCTCTACCACGGCTGATCAAGAGCCTCAATTCCCCATAGCAATGACCTCCTCAATCACTCTCAAGCCATGCTAGAAGTGGCCTAAGAACAACACAAGGATGAGTCACGTGAAGCTATATGGTCAATTTTAGGAATCCAATCAACTAAGCTGAAACAGCAAACAAGGCCTATTGTACTCAAAATAGACACCACCTCATAGCTACAAAAACATCTGTAAGAACAAGCTTAGCCAAACGTACGTTGCAATTGTATATGCAATCCCCAGTCTCTATTACGGCTTATCAATAGCCTCAAATCTCTATAGCAGTGACCCCTTGTGATAACCAAGCATGATACATGTATTATTGTTCTTGCATTCATGCCTTGTGTGTTATGCTTTGTGTGAATTAGGACTTGTTAAGAACTAGAAGATAAGAAGAAGTTTAGTTTGAAACCCTAAGCCTAGAAAATTATGTGTTTTGTGCCATGAGTTACGGGATGACTTTAGACTTGATTTGACAATGCTAGGATGTGCCTACACACTAATTGAGGAGCTTAACGATCTTAGACTAATGTGCTTGTTAATTTGATGCTATGTGAATTTTCGCTAATCGGGATTAGTGTCAATTAAGTATGATCAGTGAGCCTTAATTAAGATTAATTAAACTAAGTATGATTAAGCTTAACATTGGTTAATTAGAACTAAGCATGGTTAACTAAGCTAATAGAACAATTACACTGTCCCGGTCTTACTAACACTAAGATTTCTAATACTCCAATTGAGCTTAATGTGAAGCTTAACACTACCGATGGTGTCCCTCTGGATGATCCTACTTTATATCGAGAGCTTATGGATTGCTTAGTCTATCTAACAGTCACTTGCCCTGACCTTGCTTATGTTGTTCATGTGGTTAGTCAATTCGTTTCTGCTCCTTACTCTACCCATTGAGTTATTTTGATTCAAATTCTTTACTATCTTCAAGGTACTATTCTACTTCTTCCTTAGACTTGGTGGCATATGCTAATTCTGATTGGGTTAGTGATGTCACTGATCGCAAGTCCACTATCTGAGTACCGTGCTATGCCCATGCTATTGCTGAGATTGTTTAGCTTCACTATCTCTTATTTGATTTGGGTGTCCCCCAGTCTTCTCTGACTTCTCTCTACTGTGACAATCGCAGTGCTATTCAGATTGCCCAAAACACTGTGTTCCATGAGCGGACGAAACATATTGAGATTGATTGTCACTTTGTCTGTCAACATCTGTAGTATCGCTCTATCTTGCTTCTTTTTGTCTTTTCGGCTTTGCAACTTTCTGACTTCGTTACCAAGACTCACACCACTGCTCGATTTTCATTTCTTCTTGGCAAACTCTCAGTGTTTTCTGCTAAAACATCGTGAGTTTCAATAGGGGTGTGAGACTATTAGTGTATCTCTATATATGGTAGTATATATGTTGAGAGATTATGAGAGATTGTAAATATTCTCTTTCCTTTTTAGTCTTAGGGTTAGGATTTCAATATAATCAGATGTATCCTTGTAATACATTCACAATTGAATATACAAAAATTATTCAGAAAACTTATAGCTTGATGATGACCATGGCGCCTTATTTTCGGACATTGGTCATTATCGTTGCCTAGTTGGCAAGTTGATTTACCTCACCGTTGCTTGTCCTGACATTACGTATGTTGTCAGTTTATGCATGCTCTTCATCAGCCTCATTTTGATGTTGTTTGTCATATTTTGCATTATCTAAAGCAGGCCCTAGGCCAAGGTCACCTCTATCGTCTATTGTCCTCCTTTTTTATTACTAGTTTTAGCAACACTAATTGGGTTGGTAGTCGTACTAATCATCGTTTTACTTCCAGCTATTGTACCATTGTTGGACATAATCTTGTTCCTTGGCATTACAAGAAACAAATTGTTGTTGCCTATTCTAGCGCCAAGGCTGAATATCGCGCCATGGCTCACACGGCCTCTGAGATGTTGTGGTTCACTCTCTTCTCCAGGTATTTGGCATATTTGTTTCTTCTCTTATGCGCATGTGTTATGATAATCAAGCTGCTATCTTCACTGCAAATAATCCCGTGTCCATGAGTGTACCAAGCATATCGAGGCTGACTACTACTTTATTTGTGATCTATTACTTTGCAAGCATCTTAAGATCCCATTTGTTCAGTCTGAGGATCAGTTGGGTGACATTCTCGCCAAACCCTAAGCTCGGTCCTCTTCTCAATGCTTATCTGCCAAGCTAGTCATGTTCAATCTCTACACTCCAACTTGAAGGAGAGTGTTAGAGTGGATATTTTTTTCTGTATTGACAGTAAGGGTATTATTATCATCTTGTAGTTCTCACTTTAATATAATACATTTTATGGTGAAGGGTGTGTCGTTACACAACCCTAATCATCTCTATTCTATGTCTCTTCTCATCTCATTCTAACCCTAATATTGCATATTTTATTCTCTAACTAAACTAACAATTATTACCACCAATCAATTAACCATTTCAAATTTCAATATATGCAACTGGAAAAGTCAACGTACTCGAATAATAAGAATGCAGTCCGGTTAACAAACCTGTGGTCACTGCTAGTTTCTTTTGCGAGAACTTCAAGTTCATCTCGGCTGTTTTTGTTTGTACTACTTGTATCACTAGCATAATGCCTATGCTTTGCACTTTGAGCTAAACGAAACAGACTATCTCGGATGCAAAGTCTTATTCGGATGTCCAACTGTGGAATTACATAGCATTGGTAGTAAGATTGTCAACAAGTTGATATTATTCTACAAGGGAAAGATTGTGCTAAAAAATATAAATTACCTTGGCAATAATATCTTCAAGCCGGTGAAGAATCGTCTCCTCGACATAATAATTTTCATCAACTATCATAGAGACTGTATTGGAGTCATCCTGTTCAATGGGTGAGTTTGGATCAATAGAGGGTAGGGAGCAAACAATTTCTTCAACTTTGATATTCCCTTCCTGTATCAGCTGAATTTGATTTTCGTGCAGACACTTTTTCTCAACAGAATGATCATTATTTGAGACTTGATGATTTAATTGCTGCTGTTGTTTTTGAATTGCAAGCAGTGCCTGCATTTGCTGGCGCCTCCTCAATTTTTCGATTTTTTCCTGAGGTGTCATTGTCAGAGATTTCAGGGAAGTGCCCGGGGACCTGCTTGAAGGATTTACATTGCTTGGAGAAATGTTATAACCAGAAAGCACTGGTTGATTATCTTCTCTAGAATAAATTTGTGGCAAGCTGGTCCTGGTATAATTTTGAATTTTATTACTTCCACACACAAAAGGGGCCACAAATGAGTTGGGAGAATGCTGATATTGTGAATACACACGTCCTTGAATTTGTGTTTGTTGACTGAGAACAGAAGATGTACAAATCTGAGGCATTGATGGTGCGATTAGGCCAAGTTGTTGGAATTGATTTTCCCTTGGAGACCAGATGCTACATGAACCCTCTAACTGTTGTCCTTCACATCTTTCTTTTCTCTGGGTTTTTAAATTATTTTTCTGATTATTCACCTGTCCATGTGAAAGCAACCAGGCAAGTCAATCTCAGGCACAGACAATAAAAAAGCAAAAGATAAAAAGGCATTACACAAACAACAAAGTTGAATAACATAGGGGTTCTTTCAGAGTTCTACTGAAACAGTGTGTCAGCATATTATATGATATCAGGTTAATATTTGCAAGATGTTTATATCAATTCTCACCTGTTAGACAGACAGCTATAAACCTTTTTATATTAGCAATTGGCCTTAGTATAAACATCAGCATATCATGTGGAACTAGAGTGGTATCATAGGCACTTTGACTGTGAAAGAGGCAAAAAAAAAAAAAGATTCTCGCTTGGTTCATAGACAACTTTGCCATTCTCTCCCGGTGATATCATACTTCTCCTATTTCAGGTTTGGTTAGGGTTCCCAGATGGAAATATTAATCACTTGTTATATCATATGGGTATGGTAGAAGATGAAAACTGATTGAAAAACCCAGCCCATATTTCTCCTTAAAACCCAGGTATTAAGGAGAGGGAAACTGGAGTTTTATAACTAGCACAGTTAGGGCAACTCCAGGTGATGTGAAACACATTCCAACACACCCTCCTGGACTAGGACACACAGTAGCCCAAGAAACAGCACACCAATCACAAGCCCAACCAAGCTCTGATACCAAATTGAAAACCCCAGCCAACATTTCTCCTTAAAACCCAGGAATTAAGGAGAGGGAAACTAGAGCCTTATAATTAGCACAGCTAGGGCAATTCCAGGCGATGTGGGACACATTCCAACAAGCTGGACCATTACTGGTTCAGCTAACAATCTGCTTTTCTGAGGAAGGTCCTTCACAACTATAATAATCTGAAATTGGAAACATCTAGTCAATTTCCTTGTTTCTTTATCCAACAAATTTGAAGGACAGCTCACTTGAATGTAGATGTCAATCAATGTATCACAACCTACAGTCCTTTAATGCATATTGTCTCTTCATTTTCTAATAGTTCACACTAATAATATTTTTAGTTCATGCATAATAAATTTAATATCATGCAATTTGCAGCTCCTTCAAGAACATTTATCACATCAGAGACGGAACTTCTCGTCGTGTTTCATTTTTTGAATATATTACAATGGTCAATTCTCCAACAAAGCATTAAAAAATGTACACAATCAGAGCAAGGGTCGACGTAAGTGGGGACAAGTGGGGGAAACTATGACAACCAACCTTTCATGCATATGCATATCATGCCATTCATGTATATTGATTTTGTGTTAAATGTTTACTTGCTTGAACTAGAGCTTGAGAGGGAACATAAGAGGAGGAGGAATTAATTGAAAGCCTAAACTTAGGAAAATTGCTTGTTTCATGTTTCAAGTTAGGGGATACCTTAGAATGTGATTTGAGAATCATAGGAAATGCTTAAGCCTTAATTGAGGAGCTTAAGGACTTTGGTCTTACGTGCTTGTCCATTTTGTGTTATTTGTTATTTTGCTAACTAGGATTAGAAATAATTAAGTATGATTAGTGAACTTAATTTGGATTAATTAAGTTAAGTATAATTAGGATAAGATTAGATTCCTTAGTACAAAACCTAGTTAATTAGGCTAAAGCAAGAAAATTAACCAATTAGGGAAACTTACAACTATCGCCCAACCACACCAAAAAAAACCTTGTATTCCCAAATCAAACAAAAGGGAAAACCTGCTGGAAATTGAAGGAAGAACCTAGAGAGAAAGGAGAAGGAAAGGAAGAAAAGAGAAAGAAGAGAGCAAGAAGAAAGGCTCAAGAATCTTCATCAAACTTCATCATTTAACAAATCTGAGGTAAGATTTCTACCCAAAATTTGTAAGTTTAGAGAAGAGAAAGAGATAGGAAATGAGTGAGACCTCATTCCCTTTTATATTGATAATAATACGTAATTACAGGAGTGCCATTAGGCATAAATTATGGGCCACCCCATTACATCAATAAATGAAAAATAAAATCAAATAAGAATAAAAAATAGCAAAGATTATTTCCTATTCTAATATATACTAACACTCCCCCTGAAGCTGGTGCGAAAATATCTCTCATGCCCAGCTTGTTGAGAATGTCATGAAATGGTTTGCTCCCTATTCTTTTGGTGAGAACATCTGTTAGTTGGTCCACAGTCTTCACAAATGGAGTACATATAGTGTCACTAGTGTGCTTTTCCCTAATGAAGTGCCTATCAATCTCCACCTGTTTGGTTCTGTCATGTTGAACTGGATTATGAGCTATGTCGATCGCCGCCTTGTTATCACAATACATCCTCATGGAATCAATCTGGTGTATCCTCAAGTCTCCCAACAATAATCTAATCCATAGCAACTCACATACTCCCTAAACCATAGCCCCAAATTCTGCCTCAGCACTAGATCTAGCAACCACATTTTGTTTCTTACTTCGCCATGTGACTAGGTTGCCTCCAACAAATGTGCAATATCCAAAAGTTGATTATCTGTCAGCGACTGATCCAGCCCAATCTGCATCAATAAATGCCTTCACACTGAGATGTCTCTGTTTTGAAAAATAGAGACCCTTTCCAAAGAGAGACTTTAGGTACCTCAAGATTCTCATAACTACTTCTAAGTGGGAATGTCAAGGAGCATGCATAAACTGGCTAACCATGCTCACTGTTCCCCTGTCCACTGGATCTCCCCCTTGATCCTCACTTAGTTTCTGGCCCGGTTCTAAAGGTATATCACATGGTCTACTTCCAAGCATTCTAGTTTCTTTTAGCAAGTCAAGTACATACTTCCTCTGGCATATGAAGATGCCATCCTTAGACCGAGCTACTTCAATGCCCAAAAAAATACTTCAAATTATCCAAGTCTTTGATTTCAAACTCCTTAACTAAGTGTTCCTTCAACCGAGGGATCTCCTCACCATCATCCCCTGTGAGAACAATATCATCAACATAAACGATAAGAGTTGTGGTCTTACCATGTGAGGAGTGTTTTACAAATAAGGTGTGATCAGCTTGACTTTACTTGAACCCATATCTCAGCATAGCTCGAGCAAACCTTTCAAACCAAGCCCTAGGGGACTGCTTTAGCCATAAAGTGACTTCCGAAGCCTGCACACTATACCTTTGGACCTAGCATCCTCACAGTTAGGGAAAATATCCATATAGACCTCTTCTTCTATGTTTCCATGAAGGAAGGCATTCTTTACATCAAACTGATAAAGTGGCCAATCCAAATTTGTTGCAAGAGAGAGTAGCATTCTCGTAGAGTTCATCTTTGCAACTGGTGAAAATGTTTCCTGATAACCTACCTCATAAGTCTGAGTGAAGCCCTTAGCAACCAGTCTTGCTTTGTACCGTTCAATGGAATTGTCTACTTTGTGTTTCACAGTGTACACCCACTTACACCCAACTAGATTTTTGCCTCTAGGTAACTCCACTAACCCCCAAGTGCCATTCTTGCTGAGGGCTCTCATCTCCTCCATCATGGCATGTTTCCATTTAGGAATGGAGAGGGCATCGTGAAAATTGTTAGGCAGACTCACAGAAGAAATTTTAGACAGAAAGGCTGTATATGAAAGAGACAGATTAGAATAAGAGTCATGATTCGTAATAGGATGTTGAGTACATGACATAACCCCCTTCCGATTAGCAATGGGAACATCAAGATCTGAGAACTCAGAAATAGAAGCATTAGGATTAGAATTACATGGACTCTCAGGAAAGGGATGACTCTAGACACTCATCCGAAGAAGAAGTTAGCAATAGAGGAGGGAAAGTAGTCTCTTGCATCCAGGTGACTTTCTGTCTATTTTTGTCCCTGACATAAACTTTGCTTTCTTCCTTTTCCACAACAATTGTTGGCTCAACATCCTCTATCACTAGTGGTAGTGGCACAAGAATCTCTTCACACCAAGAATCTTCCTGAAGGGATGACTGGGACACTGGAGAGGTCGGAAAGTAAGACTGAGAATCAAAGAAAGTGGCATCCATGGAGACAAACCATTTGCGAGATGGAAGATGATAACACTTATAACCCTTTTGGGTGGTAGAGTAACCTAGGAAAACACACTTAAGAGACCTAGAATCCAATTTACCACGAGTAAGTGAATGATTATGGACAAAAGAAACACATCCAAAGGTCTTAGGAGGAATGGAGAACCCAGAAGACGTAGACCCAAACAAAACCTGAAGAGGGGTTCGTTTCTGAAGTACTTGGGTGGAAAGACGATTAATCAAATAAGCTTCAATGAGAACCGCTTTCCCCCAATATGATTGAGGGACACACATTTCAAAGGATATACACCAGGCCACATCAAGGAGATGGCAATTTTCCCGTTCTGCAACACCATTTTATTGAGGAGTATTAGTGCAAAAGGTTTGGTAAATAATGTCATCGGTGGAAAAATAACTAGCAAGACCAGAGTCAATATATTCCCCCCCCTCCCTCTCCATTATCAGAATGAAGAAATTTTACAACTGCCCCTAACTGAGTGCAAACCATTCTATGAAAGTTTTGAAACACAGAAAACACGTCACTTGTCTTTCATTATATATACCCAAGTGGCTCTAGAACAGTCATCTATGAAAGTAACAAACCATTTTTTACCTTTTAAAGACAAAACGTGAGGGACCCCATACTTCAGAATGAATCAAAGAAAATAGAACTGAGCTTTTATTAATATAAGGACAAAATAAGCTTTGTATTGTTTTCCAAGTTGACATGACTCACACTGAAAATCAAACACATTATTGTGCGCAAAAACAAAAGGAAAAAGATGCCTAAGGAGTAAAAAAGAAGGATGTCCTGAGCGACGGTGCCACAGCCAAAGGTCTTCGTTGGTGGAGGGTAACTGAATAGATGAATGAGTCAGCTTGTCAATATGATCTAGAATATAGAGACCATGTTCCTCTCTACCACTACCAATCCTCTTTCTCATGATAAAGTCCTGAAAAAGACAGTGATCAGGAAAAAAAAGTCACACTACAATTCAAGTCCTTTGTAATACAACTCAATGATAACATGCTAACAGAAAAATTGGAAACATGGAGAACAGAAGATAGAGGTATGGTAGGAGTGACATGGACTAAACCTTTCTAAAATATAGAAGAAACAGTACCATCTGCAATCCTAACTTTGTCTTGGCCTGGAGAGGGCTTATAGGCGGAGAAAATGTTAGAGGATCCAGACATATGATTTGAGGTACTAGAATCAATAATCTAGGGCAAAGACTTATGAGAGAGGAAAACACGAGGAGAATAGGCTAAGTTACCTGAGCGGGCAAACGATGAGGAAGATGTATTGAGAGCAGTAGAAGACCGGCGGTCTAACAAGTGACGCAGAACATCCTCAAGCTCATGAGTAGTCATGTTAGAGAGACCATCAGAAGCCTGGCCAATGGAAGTGGAAGTAGAATCAAGTGTATCAACTGCAGTAGATTGATGAGCCTGTGGATGAGAGCCACGTCCTTTAGACTAACCTGACCGACCTCCTCTAGAACCACACTGATCACCTCGACCCTCGGATGGAGTCCTATGAAGCTTCCAACACACCTCACGAGTATGCCGCGACTTGCGGCAGTAATCACAGAATACAGACTCCTTGGCGGTAGACAAAGGGATGGGAGTCAGGCTGAGGCCATCTCTAGGGGTAGACAGTAACGCGGAGCGGTCAGTAGAGACAGGTGACATCATAGCAGACCGGCGACTCTCCTCATTCTGTATATAGGCGAATGCCTCATGAAGTAAAGGAAAAGTGTCCATACCCAGAACCCGATTTCGAACCGGATTATACTCCATATGGACACCTGCCAGAAACTTGAAGATAATTTCTTGTGCAATGAACTTCCTGTACTCGACTGAATCAGCAATGCAAACAGGCTTATAGTCCTGCATGTGATCAAGGTGTTTCCAGCTGTTAGTGAGGAAGGTGAAGTATTGAAGAATAGTCTGCTCCCCCTGAACAGAGCTCTTAATAGAGCGGCACAACTCAAATGCCTGGGAGAAATTCTCTTTGTGGGAATAGGTGGCAGCCACAGCATCCCAAACATCCTGGGCAGTCTCCATAGACAAGTAGCCCTCACCAATTTCTGGAAAAAAATAAAGAAAACACAACTACAAAAATACAAGAAAACCCCATACCACCACTCAAAAAAAACCAATATAAATAATACAAACACTAACA